GCCCCGCACCGGCCGGCCTGTCCTGAGAGGGCCGCGTGTTTATCCGCCTGGTGGCATTAAACAGTGAGCAGTCGTCTGGACACAGGTGAGTTAATGTGAAAGCAGACTTTGAAAACGGGGGTTTCCCATCAGTGCCGGGAAAACGCGGTGTTGCAGACGTCTCAGTTCCTTGAGGAAATGTAGGTGGGATGTGGTGGTCCCGCCTGACGAGCTTCCTCTGCAGGGACTTGCCGTGCGGAAGCCTCGTCTTCGCAAGCGAGGCGGCGGCCGGGGCTCCTCACTCCCTGACACCCGCCTTTCTGTGCAGCTTCGGACCGGCGGGGCTCGGGTAAACCCCGGCCGAAGAGCGAAGGCTTCGAGCTCTACAACAGCTCTGCCCAGAACGGCTCCCCCGAGAGCCCGCCGCCGCCCTGGGCCGAGTACAGTGAGCCCAAGAGGCTGCCGGGCGACGACAGGCTGGTCAAGAACAGGGCCGACCACCGCTCCAGCCCCAACGTCGCCAGTAAGCGCCGGCCGGCCGGGGTGGGCGGGGGCGCGGGCCGCCGGGCTGGCTCCTACCTGGTCGTGGGAGTACGGGATGCCCAGGAAGCGGTGGAAGCCCTGGTGCGGGGGCAGGAAGGCCCCCTCGGGACCCACCCCGAGGTGCCACTTGCCAGCCATCCCTGTGAGGTAGCCGCGGGCGGCCAGGACCTCGGCCAGGGTCACCTCCTCCAGGGGCAGGCCCCCCCGGGAGTTGGGCTCCAAGACGCCAGGGTACAGGCCCATCCGCACCGGGTGTCGGCCGGTCAGCAGGGCGGCCCTGAGGGGGGCGGCCAGGGAGGGTGCAGGCACGTGAGGACCCCACCCCAGGGTGGCCGCGGGCTCCACAGGAGGACAGGGGTCTGCAGGGCCCCAGACCAGCTTCCCCCAGGGAGGGCGGCTCCCCTGGATTGAGAGGGGCGCCCCCGGAGTGGGGGCGGCTCCCCAGAGAGAGGGGGCGCTCCCCCAGCGGGAGGGGGCTCACCTGGAGGGCGTGCACAGGGACACCGGCACGTAGAAGTCTGTGAACCTCAGTCCCCCTGCAGCCAGCTGGTCCAGGTTGGGGGTCGTGGAGCTGGGGTGCCCGTAGGACCCCAGGTCTCCATAGCCCAAGTCATCGGCAAAGATCAACAGGATGTTAGGGGGGCTGGCAGCCGCCACTCTGGTGGCCGTGGCCAGGGCCGTGGCCAGGGCCAGCGCCCACAGCGCCCCCGTGGCCATGGCCGGCGTGGCCCGCGAGGGAGGGAGTCCGCCCGGCTGCCCGCGACCGACCGCCGCGCCCTCCCCGGCGTCCCTGTCCTCAGTCCCAGCGACTTGTCTCACAGGCCCGACGGCGGCAGGAGCCAGGCGCTGCCCGGCGGACGTCCCGGTGCCTCGGAGGCTCCGCGGGGACCTCGCTCCGCGCTCGGGGCCGCCG